TGTCCCTTTAAATGCTAGTGTTGAGTACTACTGTAAGGTTTACCGTGCCTGGTTTACATGTTTGAAAATGATAAACAGTTGAAAACATTAGAAATTTAGAAAAGTAATCAAAAAGTAATCAAATGTAATCAGTTACATTACTTTTATAAAGTAATTGAAAAGTTACACTACTTATTACATTTTAAGTAGGGTAACTTGTAATCTGTAACCTATTACATTTCAAAAGTAACCTTCCCAACACTGTATATTACCTCTCGTGATTTGTTGCTGCCTGCCTTTGTGACCTTGTGTTTTGGATTACTCTCTCTGTGCCCTGATTGCCACCTGCCCCGACTCTAGCCTGGTTACTGTTTACTCTACAGGATTATCTCTGTTATCCCTGACGCCATCAATTTATTACTTAAAAAAAAAAAAACTAATATATATATACACTATACACTATATATAAACTAATGTATGTATGTATGTGTGTGTATATATATATATATATATACATACATACATACATACACTACGTAGGCTTTTGTGCCAAAATGAAATAACCAAAAATTTGAATGAAATCAAATAACCCATTGACAAATTAGAAAGTAAACCATAATCAACACGGGGGAATGTTACATATAGGCTTGAGGGTCCCCCTTTATAATAGGTATCCTTAAATACTATGTACTTAATAGGGGTATAACAGTACACAAACACGACGATTCAGTACATACCTCGGTTTTGACGTCACGGTTCAGTATGGTTTCGGTAAAGTAGGGATAAAAAAAAATTTTTTTTTTTTTTTTTAAACAGTGATTTACTGAACAAATTGCTCTCTTTAAATTTTCTCAGGGATAGAAATCCACCTCGGCTTATGCTCTAAAATGGAGCCCTTTTACATTACTTTAACACTAGAACCGCCAGGGGTCGCTGTATACCTAAAAGCGCCAGCGGGTAAATTTTACCCACGCACATGACAGCTGTTTTTGAATGGCTAAAGAACATATTATTTCACTGTATTATGCTACTGTCTTCACAAAGAAGTGTCTAGAGTCATGAAATGATTATGGTGAGTGAAAGGCGTTGCCTAGCAATGTACTATGTTAAAACATAAGCGCCTTGAAAATGACAGCGCGAACATACAAGCATTATATAGCGGGTAAATTTGACCCGCGCTGGCGCTTATAGGTATAAATGCCCCGTTTTTTTATCTGGTTTTATCTAAACAGTTTATAACAACAGGGGATTGTAAATCACACAATTTTAGTAAAAGTCGGTGACTAGGAGACTTGAATGTTTTATTAAAAATATTTGATGTACGTTTACCCCGTGGCGGTTCTAGTGTTAAGGATACAATTAACAACAGAGCCCAAACGTAACTTTAATTACTATTTATTTTTAAATATAATAATCACTCAACTTTAAAAAATGTTATGTAAAAATGTAAATTGCACATAATGCTGTTTTTAAATTAATTAAACCAACTAAATTATAAAAATTCCATTTGTTTTTTAAATATATTCATTTACACAGTGGCTGTCATAACTGGTTTCATAACATTTATTTAAACATACAATAAGTACTTAAGACATCACTAAATGGTAAATAAGTATATAGTCAAATTTTTCGCAAAATGCTCTTCTTAAGACTTCCTTTCTCTAGTGAATTAATGAGCTGTGAACACTGATGACTTGCCTGAGGCAAATGAAATGGTACATGTGTAACCGGTCTTACTCACCCCGACACGGCATTTTGTTTTCAAGCTATTTTACCGACATCTTTCCGAGGCATGAGATGTTCATTCATGTTTATTTCGTGTTAAATCTAATAGTTAAGAGGCTCACTCACGCTCTGAGGTGTTTACTGTCGCACAACATCAAAGAGCGTCAAAACGGCTTTTATTGTTTGAATGTCCTGAAAAACAAGGACAATTTGAAAGACTGGACTTTGTTTCTTATCAAAAGTAACAATATATAAAACTGGAAGTTAACAATTAAGTTATAGTCGTGCGGTGGTTAAAACAATGCTGTATTTGTTCGGTACACATGCGTACCGAACCGAAAGACCCATACAGAAAATTTTCGGTATGAATACGTTAACCGTTACTAGCGTGACCACCATTAAACAAACCAAATATGGGACGAAAGGATGCAATTGCAGCCAAATTTGATGTATTTGGCCTGGCAAAGTAACACAGTATTCTTCATACAGTTCATCTATGCCCTGTTTTTCCTTTATCTGAAGGATTTCCACCTCATCACAAAGATGGGAGAATGTGAACTCTCTCTTCAGCCCCAAGGCTGCAGCATTCTTGTGGTAGTTGTTGTCGTCTGAGAAGTCGTACCATTTTAAGGTATCTGAGTGCAGACTTGTAGAAATTGGAAAAATCCTGTTTGATTGCTGCTCTCTTTTGGTCTGTGAACTGTTGGAGGAGAGCACTGGTCTCTACACCAAAAAAGCCATCCACTTGTCATTGTTGAAGCTTGACTCCAAAAGCAGAACCACCTCATGGAATATCTTCATTGCATTATTGAGGAAGGACAAGTAAGCTTGTAACTCAAGAGGATGCCCCTCACTATCTTCATCCTGATTAAATCATTTCCATAGCATCTTCGGACAATATTCTTCTCCCAGTGACAAAAAAATAAGCCTTGATTGCAGACCAGCTATCATGTAGCCTTGAGACAACAGGCCATATACTTCACCATCTTGTTGGTACGTGTCTCAGTAAAGCCTGATAACCTTATAATCCATAAATTAAAATACAGCTTTCAATTCTTCTGTGCATTGAGGAAGATGAGAAGTGACTAAAAATCTTGTTGTCTGTGGTTTCAATGTCTATTTCCAGTCTGTCTCCAGCATATCCTTTACCAAAAAGACGTTTATTTTATTGTGTATACCTAAGTAAAGTTCACGTATAATTTAAGTATACTTTATGTAGCAAGTATACAAATATCAGTGTACTAGTACTATACATGTAAGTGTACTATTTCAATACTCCTTGGGACTAAATTGGCCCACTTTCTAGTATATAAAAGTACACTTTTAAGTACTTAAATATGACAGTAGTCAAATTTGAGTACTCTAGTTAACCTCTATGTTTTTAGTTTGTACTGCAACTATACTAAAAGTGAACTTAAAGGTATACTGATAGTTTACTTGTAGCATTTTTAGTAGGCAACACTTTGAAGTATAGTCTCAGTAAACTACTAGTTTAGTAGTTTTATACTGAAAGTATACTCAAGTACTGAACTTTACATCATACTTTAAGTATACTACTATGTCCCTATTTATTTATTAATTTGTATATATTTTGTTACATGAATATCTGAACATACAAAACATCAAAAGAACAGGGTATCTGCTTGTAAACAAAAAAAATTATTCTAGCTTCATGCATTATTTTTTTCATTTGTAAATATTTTGTTATATGAAAATCTGAACATACAAAACATCAAAAAGAAAGAACAGGGTATCTGCTTGTAAACAATAACATTTTATTCTAGATTCATGCATTATTTTTTTTTTATAAACACTTGAATGTGGGTAAGTTTCATAAATAAAAAATAAAGAAATCAACAACATTTTAAACAAAATGCTGAAAAAAAAGACTATGAATTGGATTCAGAATGATAATCAAAATGTAGATGGAGTCTATCAACACCCCAAAGCTTCACAATCATTATTACCTCTTCATGGGTCAGCATTTTATTTTACTGATAATAAAGTCAAATAATTGTATGTGAGAGAGTCAGTGGTAAAAAAAAAAAAAAAAAATTGCATTCCTATTGGTCAGTGTTAGAGGAGCTCAGCTTAGCCTGACAGTTAAACTACCCCAGAACAAGGTTAGTTTCCCAGAATAAGTTGCCAGAGTGACTGAGCTTGAGCTATGGTAAATTTGCTTTATGAAACCAAATCAAGTGACAATAAGTCAGATTAACTAAAATAAGCCTGGCTTATTTGGTAAACTCCTCATGAAACAGCCCCCAAAAAGCAGATCAGAACCATAACATAAGAAAACTCAAAAGACAGAATGCGCCGAAATGCTGCTGTAACACTAGCAAGACTGTGCAGCGTGATAGAGAAAACACAGGGCTTATATTGGCAGAGGTAACGAGCAACAGGTAAAAACAATCAGGCATGAGTCCGGGCAATGGGTTATGGGAAATGCAGTCCAGGATTAAGTGGCAAACCTATGGGATGGAGTGCCCTCTGTTGGCTATCATGGGCACTCCAGCTGGTGATCGTGACGCATTGCAGCGTGAAGCTTTTGTTGTTATTTTTAAACTGAAAAGGGTGATGAAATCTAATATAGAGATTGTTAGCGTATATAATAAACATCAAAAAATCAGATAATCATGAATAAAATAAATGTAATGAATTAGATGTGATAAAATAAACCCATCTGAGTTCTCTTTATTTGTGCTTATGTGACTGCAATAATTTAAATGTAAAAAGAAATTTCTCGAATGAGAACAATTTTGATTAATAACAGTGATTACAAATTTTGAGAAAAATATCATGAAATTAAGACCAACTTTAACCATTCTGTTTAAATCACTCGAAGGATGTGACAGGAATCTGTAAGATTTTAGTTTCACTTCCCATTTTTACACATTTTTTAAATCTCTGTAAAATGAATGAATACACATTCATACACATACAATCATTATCTCCCATCATGTGCACATACATACATCTCTGACAGTCTCTTAAAATGCCTGATTTAGAGTTTTATGATGCTTTCATTTATAGATATGTGCAGATGTGTTGGTTTGAATACTGTTTTAAAAGCAGACGAGACTAGCAATAAGAGAGGGCAGATTATAAAGGAGATCAGACTTGTTTTCTTTTGGCATTTGGTCCTGTAAAAAAAAAGGTACAAAAGCTTGGGAAGTACTTTTTTTTTAAAGATGCAATTTTATACTTTTTAGGTATTAATACTGTATGTACACTTTCAGTACTAATATGTACACTTTAGGCACTAACAGGTACTAATACGTATTAACAATACGCACCCTTCACGTACAAAGGTGCATCTTTTGAAAAAGTTCCGTTCCAGTGACAGCTTTTGTACCTTTTTTTCTGAGAGTGTGGTCAAGCGTGACATCATAATTAGAACATTAGAATGTTCAGAGTCTGTGTACTTCTCTGTCTGCTGGACTGACTGCAAAACTCAGTCTGCTCCATTGAATGACTGCAAGATTCGCTCTGCTTGATAGCAAATACTCTTCATTTGACTCAATAGTCTGATACACTCAACCTGCAAGATTGTCTACAAGACCGGTCTTGAAGACTCCATCTGGTTCTCAGCAAATACCAAATCATGCTGTTCACCACTAGTCTGCTGCTGTTGTGGTGGTACTCCACCAGGGTGAAGAAAGATTCACCTAATACAATGAATTTGGAGGAGAACAATCAAGGTAAGGCCATTGCTGGGGTTCAGGGCCTTCTGGATATCATAAAATGTAGAAAATCAAACACAGTTTTTAAAATAACTTTTTGTGTAATCTTGATAGGAAGCAAAACATTTGAAAAATGATTTTGGTCAAACGCGGGCAAATAAATGTAAAAAAATGTCAAATAAAATGTATGAAATCTGTGTTGGAAGACCAAAAATGTCCACCCTGTTAAAGCCAAATAAAAAACATTTTAAAAGATTTAAGATGTTAAAGTTTGGGCATTGTGTACATTATCTTACAAAACTGACACTGGCCCCTTTGACCATTTAAAATCTTATCTGGTTATTATATATAAATTGTGTTTTCAGATACAAATGTATAAAAGGCATTCTCTAATATTTTTCAACTATTTTTTCTATTAAATTTAATTTAGCAATTATAATAAAGTTTTTAGTGTATGTTCCTCAAGTTATTGTCCACTCTGTTATGATGACTACTGTGCATTCAAATGAAAGCTGGAAAATTTAAAATCCAGTTTCCAATCTGATATGGTCAACCTCAATATGTCCACTCTGGTATGGGTAATTATGAAAAAAAAAAAAAAAAAAAAAGTAAAATTTCTTTTTTTTTTTTTATCATTATACCTATTATGAAAAAAAAAAAGTATAATTGCTTTTGTTTTTTCTTTAGGCCACTTTGAATAAAATAGTGTAAATTCATAAATTTAAATGTAAAATCAGAAGTCAGAGTGGACAGTGAGAGAGAATACATGGTGGTAATGAAAGTAATTTACATTAAAGTTGAAGAAGTAGTGATAATTCTGTCCACCCTTTTATGATTTTGTCCACATTGTTAAGAATTTTTCAAAGATGATTTTATATTGTCACAATAAATCAATCAATTCTGTGACAATGAAAATTTATTGGAGTATCAGTAACATATTACTTTAAAAAGTAAAAAAAATAAAAATAAAAAATCAGTTATATTCAAAACAATGTAGAATCAAAATATTAAAAAAATAAAATTTTTAACCCCAGTAACCATTATACAGATAAAAATAGTAGATTTAATAGTATAATATTGTATGCCCTCTTCTTTTTTTGCCACAGTATCTGAGACTGACAATGTCTCTCAGATTGACACTGCTTCTGAGACTGCCGATGCTTCTGAGACTGCCGATGCTTCTGAGACTACTGAGACTGCCGATGCCTCTGAGACTGCTGATGCTTCTGAGGCTTCTGAGACTGCCGATGCTTCTGAGACTACTGAGACTGCCGATGCCCCTGAGACTGCTATCAATGCATCTGAGACTGCCGATGCCTCTGAGACTGCTGATGCCTCTGAGACTGCTGATGCTTCTGAGACTACTGATGCCTCTGAGACTGCCGATGCTTCTGAGACTACTGAGACTGCCGATGCCTCTGAGACTGCTGATGCTGCTGATGCTTCTGAGACTGCCGATGCTTCTGAGACTGCCGATGCCTCTGAGACTGCCGATGCTGCTGATGCTTCTGAGACTGCCGATGCTTCTGAGACTGCCGATGCCTCTGAGACTGCCAATGCTGCTGATGCTTCTGAGACTGCCGATGCTTCTGAGACTGCCGATGCCTCTGAGACTGCCGATGCATTGCTGATGCTTCCGAGACTACCGATGCCTCTCAGACTGCCACTATCTATGAGACTGCCGATGCCTCTGGGACTGGCAATGCCTCCGAGACTGACACTGCCTCTCAAACTGCCACTGTCTCTCAGACTGGCACTACTTCTGAGATGACACTGCATCTCAGACTGACAATGCCCCTGAAACTGATGCTGCCTCACAGACAGGCACTGCCTCTCAGAATAACACTGCCTCTCAAACTGTCACTGTCTCTGAGACTGACACAGGCTTTCAGACCAGTACTGCCTATCAGACTAACACTGCTTCTGAGATTGACACTGCCTCTGAACCTGACACTGCCTCGTAGACCAGCACTGCCTCTCAGACTGACACTGCAATTCAGACTGACACTGCAACTCAGTCTGACACTGCCTCGGAAACTACACTGCTGCTCAACCTCCACTGCCTCTCAGACTGACATTGTCTCAGAGACAGTCATTACAACGGAAACTGCCACTGACTCCGAGACAGTCATTGCAATGGAAACTTCCGCTGTCTCTGAGACTGTCCCTGTATATCAGACCGCTGCTGCCTCTCAACTGCCACTGGATCTGATACAGTTACTGCTTCTTAGACATCCGCTGTCTCTGAGACTGCCACTTCCTGAAGACCTGAGCTCCTTTCAACTTCCACCATCTGTTCTGTTCTCTATATGATGCTATAAAAATAAACTAAATAAACATATTTCTTATACTCTGTACTGTTCTCTGTGGGAGAGAATACATGACACAGTGAAGTGCACAGTAGGAGCAATGCTAAATGCAATACAATAGCATTGAAATGATTCCACAGTGAAAAGCAATGCTTTGTTATTTCACTTATATTCTTTTGAAAAACACTGTTCATGGATTTGCTTTTTTAGGAATGATTTGCACCAAAATGAAATCAGCTCATTACCTTCCAACTGTTTGACGTTAACTCCAAGTTAAGCACTTTGTTGAATATCCTATTAGTTACACGGCTGTTATTAGATATTCAGATCTCAAGCTTTTAGTTGGACAATCCGTGTCACTCCACAAACAAATCAGACAGGAGAGTAGATTAACTTCAGTGGACTTAAACTTGAAAATTGTGTGTACTGACGTCTTTCTGCAGCTGAAATAAAATATGTTCTGATGTTCATTCATGTTTATTTCGTGCTTAAAGTAAATATGAAAAGACGATCAGTTCACATGCCGCTTGAACCGAGACACATTAAAGAGTCACAAAATGGTATTTTTTCTTTGAATTTAGCTCTAACCCCAATTAAATACACCTGAACCAGCTAATTAAGGTCTTACTAGACATACTAGAAACTTCCAGGCAGGTGGGTTGAGGCAAGTTTGGAGCCAAACTCTGCAGGACACCCAAAAATAAGTAAATATGAAAAGACGATCAGTTCACATGCCGCTTGAACTGAGACACATTAAAGAGTCACAAAATGGTATTTTTTGTTTGAATTTAGGTCTAACCCCAATTAAACACACCTGAACCAGCTAATTAAGGTCTTACTAGACATACTAGAAACTTCCAGGCAGGTGGGTTGAGGCAAGTTTGGAGCCAAACTCTGCAGGACACCCAAAAATGAAAATTAGCCCATGATTTACTCACCCTCAAAGCATCCTAGGTGTTTATAACTTTCTTCTTTCAGACGAATCCAATTGGAGTTATATTAAAAATAGTCCTGGCTCTTCCAAGCGTTAGAATGGGGGTAGGTGGTTGTTTTTGTTCAACAGTCCAAAATTAGTCAAATAAAGCGCGTGCATCCATAGTAAAACTGGTTTTTCTTTGGTAAAGTAAGGAAACTTTGCTTCCTTTGCTCCTGTAAACAAACTCGCGAGACTAGCATATCTCACAGGCGCATGCGAAACGCACACGTCCAACGTCATCCGCTCGGAACGGCTTGCACATATGACAGTCAGCGGAAGTGAGATAAAAATGTTTATAACATTTTAAATATGGATATTTTTCTTACAAAAACGCATCGATTCGCTACAGGAGGCCTTTATTCACCCCTGCTGTTTGAGCATAAACAATATCTGCCAAGTTACGACGCTGAAAGTTCAATGAAAATAGAGATACTGTCTTTTCAAATGATGGAAGTTTAATGCCTACAAAAACGACTGGTATGGACTACAACGAGCTACTTCCCGAGTTTGTGACGTCACAAACCCTGATAAACCCCGCCTCTGGGAACACGCAACAAAGGGGGCGAGGCCATGCTGCGCTGCTTTAGAGAAGAGGAAGAGAAAACTAGGGGTGCACGTAAAAATCTATTCATATATGAATCGCGATTCTGTCTTCTAGCGATTATAATGGATTCACAAGTTTCAAAATCAATGTTCTAAAGCAGCGGTTCTTAATCTTGTTTCTCGCGTCCCCTGCTCTGCACACGCTCTGCATCTCTCACTCTCTCTCTCATTCAGATCATCAGCTCAGCTCCAACAATGAATTGTGTTCCAATTATACACTTTATGTGTATAGACAGACAGATATTTTTCACATAGCTATGAGAAGCGTTAAACACGGACGCACGCGCATGCGGTTGCCGTGCTGTAATAAAGCTTTAATCAGGATAAAACCGTATATTAAAAGCTAACAGACGCAGTAGCATTTACAAATAACAGCGTATCTAAAAGTATGAGACAACAACAAACAAAAAAACATAGGCCTACCATTAAAAGCCGTACTTGCACAGGTTCTGCGTGATCCTCTTCACTAATATCCTCTGCGTCTCAATCGGGCTCAAATTGATAAGCGATATTAACGACGCCGTAATATCCTCTGCGTCTCAATCGAGCTCAAATTGATAAGCAATATTGACAACACCATTGTTTACAATACAACCGGAGCATTAGATGCGCTCTAGAGGCAGTTTAGCCAATCACAACACACTGGGCTAGCTAACCAATCAGAGCCCATTGCATATTTCTGAGGGAGGGGCTTCATAAAAACAGAAAATCATCAGCGCGTTTATAGGAGAACGGA